GCTGGAGCAGGAGGTGCGCGAGGTGCACGAGCGCGAGCGGGAGCTGCAGCGCCAGCGGCTCAGCGTCTACGGCACCGCCGAGTTCAAGGAGCCCGCGCCCAGCCTCACGGGTAAGCCACGGCGCCCCGACGCCAGGGACCCCCAGGGCGCCAGCCGCCCTCACCGACTACCCAACTGCAGTGGCCCCCTTTCTGGCCCTTTGATTCTCAGGGTCCCCCTCCTGGCTCCCACCCCCTCTCAATTCTCCGTTCCCGCCCACCCCTTCTGGGCGTCCCATCCCTGTGCTCCAGCCCCGACCCCGAGTGGTGGACTCCCAGATCCGCCCCACCCAGGCGCATGGTGGCGGAGGGGAGGAGGGTTCCAGATGTCTTTGTCGGGGTCCAGGGAACCCGTCCTGGGTTCTGGCACACCTGGATCCTCTCTCTGAATTTTCGGGTTCCTACCTCCCCACTCTGGGTTCGCCTCACTCCTCCCTCAGAATGGAGGCCCCCGTGGGGAGAAGGGGGGTGAACGCCTGTGTGTGTTTAAGGAGCGCGGCCGGCCTCCGTCGTCCTGGCCGCCTCCAGCTGGTGAGAGGAGGGACAGCCCCGGCTGAGCGCCCCTTCCCCCGCAGCAAGCAGGGGTGATGGAAAGCTGGCAGTGATCTGGCCTCCCCGCAGAAAGGCGTCGGAGAACGGCTTGGAGCAGGTGGGAGCCCCTTTCCCCTCGTGCCTCAGGCGCTTGTCGCCCCCCCCCCCCCGGGCGCCAGAACGCTGGGCTGGGGGAGAAGCCCCTGGGAAGTCTCTCTGGGCTAGGACACGAAGTCCCGGGCGTGGACCCGGGTGACGAGGAGGCGGTGGTCCTGGGACCCACACCACCCCACCTTGCCCCTGGGTGTCCCCACCCGCTGTGCGCGGGTCCCTGAGGCCGGCCTTCCGTCGAGCCCCCTCTCCCCAGGAGGAGCAGAAGCCTTGAGGTTCGAGCCGGCTGGGACCCCCGGCCAGAAGGAACATGCCCGTCAGAGGCCCGGGCAGGGGCGCCCAGGAGTGCCCTCCGGATGGGCGGAAGGCCTGGAGAGGGGCCTGCGGTCTGCGCCCGGGAAGATGAAATCGACCAGCGCATCCTTGAACCTGACTTTGTGAAACTGACCAGTCTCGTCTATAAACTGTTAGTCCCCTTGGGAAACACAATCCAGAGGTGAAACTGTGCAGCCCTTGTCCACCTAACTGCAAAGCACACTAGCCTCTCCCTCCGACCTTAACTGTTAGAGGGCCAGGGTCACCGCCTCGGCTGCCCCCGCTCCCCAATAAAGCCCCTTCTTTCTGGGCAGCGCAGGCTGTTTTCTTCTGGGTCCTCTTCGTCTGGGGTGGGGCGGGAGCGCGGCGGCAGGAGGCAGGCGTCGGAAAGGCGCAGGAGGCGCCGGCCGGAATGCGGAATGTGCCCTTACCGCGCGGTTCCGGGGCTGCAGCTCTCCCCGGCCCGGCCCGGCTCCTAGTGCCCCCTGGCGGCGCGGGCGCAAACTGCGGCGTTGGGACAGACGGGCTCACGCCCTGCCTTTCCAGACGTCGTCAACATTTATTGGTGTCAACGGCGTGCTCCGCGCTGGGCGCTGGCTAGACGGAGGTGATAAGAGGTTGTTCCTGCCCTGGGGACGTAAACAATAGCTACCAAAAAAGGGGGTGGTGAGAGTACAAGCTTCTTAGCAGGGTACACAAGACCATTTATAATCTGCCCAGCAAGTGCGAACCTCCCGCGCCCCCAGGCCCCAGGCCATTGTTAACGAGAGAGATGGAGTGTGCCGCAAGACAAATGGCTCGTCTCCAAGGGCAGGGAAGCGTTCATATCAGTGCTACCAATGAGTGTGCTCAGTGGTGCCAGAACTGCTTTCCTAAGCAACTGGACACCCAGCTTTAAAACAGAAGTCCAGTAAACTGTAAATTATTGTGACTATTGAGAAAACTTCTAAAATTGGGAGTGGGGTCAGGCGGGGGCAGTGAGCAACACCTGTTTGCAATAGGGCTTGTGGCTGTCAGTCCCAAGACAAGGGGCTCAAGGCCCCCCTGGATGGGGTTCAAGAGGGTCTGTGAACACCTTAAGTTGAAAGACTGTGCAGTTATATTCTGCGGTTTGGGTACCCCAGCTTCTTAGAGGTGCACAGACACCCAGAAAAGGTGGAGACCCAGGAAGCTTTTAGAATCACTCTTAAAACTCCTGGATTTGTCCAACTCTGTATGCCCTGGGTCTAGCAACAGGCTCCCTGCATAGGGATGACAAAAGGCTAACAAGGATGAAAGAACGCTCACACAGTTTGCACCCCAAGAGCAGCTCAGCCCAAGGACCCACCCCCGACCCCATCAGCAGCACACTGAGCATATGCTTGACCTCGACTAGGGGCATCTGGAGAGAAAGGCAGGAAAGAGGCAGGCCGCCAAGGGGGGAAGTGGAAACACCCAGAGCCTGATTTTAATTCCCAGCAGGGGAGCTAAGAACTAAGCAGGTAAAGAGTTGACAGGACTGTGCAAGTGTAGACCTGGGTTCTCGAACTGTCCTACAGATTAAAATCACCTGAGGTGCCCTTATGCCAAGTAAATCAGAATCCGGCAGGGCCCTTGGCATCCGCACTTTTTAAAGCGCCACAGGTGCTTCCGACAGGGAGCAGGTTTGAAAACCGAGATGCAGATGGAGGCTCGCAGTCCTCCAAGTGTGGGGCCTGGACCAGCAGCATCCGCAGCGCTTGGGAACTTGTTGGAAACGCACATTCTTGGGGCCATCCCAGACTTCACGGTCAAACCCTCCACGTGATTCTGAGGCATGCTAAAGTTGGTGAATCACGAGTGTAAACAGTTCCTGAGCAACAGGACCCCGGAAATGAAGCCTGTTTCCTTCCTCTCCCAGTAGTGTCACCACCCACAGGAAATCTTTAGTCTTAAGTGGCCTGTGGATTTGTCTTAAGGGAGACAGTCTGAAGCTGTGTGTGGCTCATTGGAATTGAGATGCACCGGAAGTGTAAAATGCACACCAGATTTCAAAGACCAGTACCCCCACATCTCATTAATAGTTTCTTACACTGATCATATGTTGAAATATTTTGGATATACTGAGTTAAATAAAAGTATCATTAAAATTAATCTGACCTCATTTTTTTTAATGTGGTTACTAGAAAGTTTGAAATTACGTGTGACTCGCATTTGTGGCTCAATTTAAATTTCTGCTGGACAGGCCAGTCTTAAAAGTCTTGTGTGGGGGCGGACTCACAGGGGCTACCTCAAATCAGTATTAGGGAGCTTCAACATCCCTTGCACTCACTCAGATCCGCCTGTGGACTAACAAATCCTGACGCAGTCAGAAACTGTCACCAGAAGCCCCCTCCCCCAAGGGTTTTGGTGTCCACTCCTGATCCACCTCACCTCTCACCCGTTTTTACCATCTCTAAACTGGGGCTGATGCTAATACTATCTGCCGGGGGCTATTAGGTAAGCGAGCGCTTTGCTCGAAAGCACGGAGTCAGGCTTCTAGGTCTCCCCTCCGACTCTGAAAATGCTGGGGGGAATCAAAAGGCACCCCCTAAAGGGGGTAACTCGCAGCTGAGTGACACCCGGGTCAGGAAGGACACCCCTCCCCTTCGCAAGGGACCAGCTGCCATCAGAAGTTCGGGTCCAGGCTCCGCCGCTTGCTCGCTGTAGCTTTGGACAGGTGCGTTCACCTCGCTCGACCCGGGTCTCCTCTCCAGTCCAAGGCTGGGGTGAAGCTTAGCGACCCCCAGTCGGAGCGCTCTCCCACCCCGCCCGCGCCCCGGAGCCCCTGCCCACTCCACGACCCAAGAGCTGGAAGAGGAAGATCTGACCTCGGCCCTTCGGAAACTGATCGCCGGCCCTTTTCCTACGGCACGCCGGGAAATACAGTCTTTTATGGTACAAAGAAATCACTTCCGGGTCAAAATGAGAGTGGGCGTGGCTCTGGGTCCCCTCCCCCCGTGGGCGTTGAATTTCCCGGCTCCACGAAACTTGCGGTTTTCCGGGTTCCGGTTGTTGACAGGCGCCGCTACTTCCCTTTTCGCCTCATGTGAGCCTCTGCGCATGCCCTGAGCTCTCGTCCGCCTGCGGGCGGGCTAGGGTTTTGTGGCCAAAGACTACATTTCCCAGAAGGCCGCGCGAGTGGGCGTGGCCTCCCCACCCCAAGGGGAGGGGCGCGGCGCTCCGAGGGGACGCGGAGCCTGTGACCTCTTTCTTTATTTAACACAAAACTGGCGTTTCAGCATGCAGGGCTCCCCGGCGGGGCCGGACTCGGTGCGCACGGGCATGCTCGGCCTGGCCCCTTGGAAGGCCAGGCCGAGCTGCACCAGGAGAGCGAGCGAGCCCCTCCTCTGCCCCTCTCCTGGAGTTTGGAACTGTCAGGCTCCGCTCCCACCCACTCTCTGGGTTCAAGGCCCCTGCGCGGCCCACGCCGCGGGCCCGGCTGCGCTCGGGGGCCGGGCCGCGCCCGCCTGGCCCGTGAGGATCTGCACCAGCAGGTCGGTGGCCAGCGTGTGCGACGGTTCCTCGAAGCCGATGGTCAGCAGCTGCTGGTAGTCCCCAAGCGGCTGCGGGCACAAAGTCCTGGGGGCCGGGGACAGACAGGCGGGACGTGAGCGGCCCCTGCTTCTCGGGAGCCCCTCCCCTCGAGTGAGAGGCTGTGGCTGAAAGAGGCTTTGTTTCAGCTGGGGGTGGGAAAAACCCTGAGGGAAAGTGGTTTCCTTGTTGATGAGAAACCTAGAGGGTAATGGCTCTGGGAGGCCGAGCAACGCTAGCCCTGACCTGGCCAATCACTCAGCTAGCTGTGTGTCATTGGGCAGGTAACTTAAGCTCTCTAAGCACCTGTTTCCTTCTTTGTAAAATGGGGCTAGTAGTCTAGACCTCAATAGTCTAGACCTCAATGGGTTGTTACGTGAGTCTGCATAAAGCACTTTGCAGGGGACAATAAATGGCTATCGTTATTACCAAGGGAAACAGTGTTGGGGGAGGTAGGTGGTCTTTGGTGGGGTTCTGCCCCTCCCTCCAGAGCCCAAGCCCACCTTGCCATGGCCCTAGCTCCTACCATGAATAAAGGTCATCCTCGGCTGGTTCTAGTGGCACCCATCGGCCAATGGACCACAGCTTCTGAATCTGGGGGCATGAATTGGCCGGACTGGTGCCTGTGTCTTCCCATGTGTCTCGATAGCACAAGAAGTAGCTGGGAGGGGAAGGGGCAGCAATTAAGAGCGAGCAGTTTCCTAGCTCCTTCTGTTGAGGGCTTTAATTTTGGAGGTGAGGTGGAAAGTCATCGGAAGTTGCCTTCAAGTTCTCAGGTAGGGGTGTGATTCAATACTGAGGACTTTTTCTCCCTGCCAGCCTACTTGTAAGATGAGGACTTTTATCTTGATGGGAGGATGAATTTTTTTAAAGGTGGGGATGGCCTTTCAAAGGTCCTTGGTTTCCTGCTTGGCTTTCCACGCTTTGGTGGGGTGGTGGGCCCACACAGAGGCCCATATTGGCATTCTGCATAGAGAGGGGAGGACTTTGAGTCTGGTAAGGGGACTCACTAATCCACATGGGAATCGTGCCCCCAGCCGCTGGGCTCAGGGGTGGTTTCCAGGTTCCAGCGCATCTTCTTATACAGGTATCGCGGGAAGCGGCGGGCAGTGTAGGCGGCTGGGGCACAGTATCTGAAGATGGACACCTCATGGGCAGGGCTGATGGCGAACCTCCCACAGAAGAAACAGGAGATGCTGGTGGGAGATGGGAGAGTGGAGAATGAGGCTGGGTCCTGGACTCCCCACTCTCATCCCAGTCTCCTACCCTTTTACCTTAGGGGGTCAGTCTCCTCCAGGCCCACAAACCCAAAGGAGGCGTACATGAGTACCACCTGTTCCAGGCGGAGGGTCAGCTGCTGGGAGATCTCCAACAGCTGCATGGAAGAGGGGCCCTAATGAGATGAGCTGGCCTGCCAGGAGCCCCCTCCCCACCCTCACCCAGGCCTGAGGGATGCAGGGAGGGGCATGGGGTCTAGGAAACCTGCCCCACACACCCCCTTCCGGACCAGCTCCTGCAGGGCTCCATAGATGGGGGGCACGCTCCTCGCAGCTGCCTCCAGGTACAGGAAGTAGGGCTCACATATCTGTAAGAAGGTGGGCATGGCCTTTGCCAGCTGTTCCTTCTGCACTCGGTCTCTGCTGAGGGGAGAAGGGGGCCTTGGCCTGGGGTCCCTCACCCCCCACCCGTGTCCCTGGCCTAGACGCCCCCATTACAAAGTCCCTTGGTGCCAGGACTCTGTCAGAGCATCTTCTAGGACCACCTGCATCAAAACCATTTGGAACACGTTAAAATCTGGCACCTGAGTCCCGCGACGGACCTAGACTCAAACTTCCTTGCAGGGTGGAGCCCAGAAATCTAGGGTTTCCACACCCTTCCGGGGGATCCCAATGGACATTGAAATATGAGGCTCACAGTCCCTTTTCCCCTGGCCTGGGAATCACGTCATCCTTTGGGGTCTCAAACTGGTAGCCCACGGACCAAATCTGGCTCAGACAGGTTTTGTTTAGCCCGCCCAGGGTTCGAAACCTAAGCCAACCCTTAACAACTGGCAGAAAAGTCCCAGGGATTGGCAACCCCAGCGCCCACATGACAGCAGGTGCTCCCTCACCCCAAATTCAACCCAGTCCTCATCATTCTTCAAAACTGGATTCCTAATCAGCTAGCTTCATTGACCGTCTCTGCTCCTAATGCTTTTGAGTTTGCGACCCCGGCGTGTGAGGCCTAGCCTGTCACCCTCTCTTCTGTCCCCTTATCCGTGGGGACCCCGGAGGCCGTCCAGCATCACCTGTAGAGCAAGTAGTTCTGGAAGTCATCTGCCTTCTTGAGCAGGTAGCGGAGCTGTTCTGTGATGGGGCTGAACATGGTGTCCCAGGGTAGGCGAGGAGGTGCGCGCCCCGGGCCCGGGGCCAGAGGCTCGGGGGAAGGCGTAGAGGTGGAGGCCTCGGGCACCTGCCCCTGGACGTCCTGGGGCTCCGCCTGGGGTGGGTCCCCTGGTCGGCCAGGGGGCGTCGACCACGAGAGGTCTCCGCAAGGCTGTGCCCCAGATTCCAAGTCATCTGGGGGCGGGGTTTCCCCAGGGCCCGGGGGGAGCGGCCCCACGAACCACTGCTCAGTAGCCATTGGGAGGCGGGGACCGGAGCTCTTTAAGCCTCCGCCGCTCGCGTTGGCCGCGGGTTCGACCCCGCCCGGGAACCTCGGACTCGCCTGGACTGGGAGCGCGGCCTCCTGCAGCTCGCCCCTGCCTCGACCTCTCTGCCGGCCGTCGCGCCGCGCGGAGGGAGTTCGCATCGTTTGAATTTCAACCCGCGGGAGGGGCGCGCCGCTCCGGTCCGCGCTGCGCGCCCGCGGGGCCCCGTGCACGCGCGCGCTCCCGGAACCCTGCGAGAGCTACTCGTCCCAGCGCGGCCACCTGGGCCGGCGCTGGCGCGGCCGTGTCCGGGGGTGCGGCCCGGGGGCCAGCGCCTTTCTCCGAGGCGGCTTCCTAGGGAGGGGGGGCTCCATAGCGCGTCAAAACCCGGGGGCGCAGGTATATAAAGGGAGGACTCCCGGGCCTCAGAATCTGTATATTTTCTAAAATACTCTAATGGAGTTGAGAAACTGCGTTAGAACTTAGTGGGCACTTGCGATATAATAGCTGTTATACAACTAACAACAAAAAAAACCTACTAACAATAAAAATCTTTACTTGGAAAGATTTTCCCATCCCATGATCTCATCTGATGGTCCACTCCCTTCTGTTCCTTTTATGGAGAGGACCTGAGGCCTGGAGACCCCCCCATGGCGCAGACAGACCCCTCACCCAGCATATGTGGACTGGATTCTTCGTGGCGGGCAAAGGCTGATATATGTAGCTATGAAGCCAAATACATTAATTATACTTAAAGATTCTGGGTAAAGACTTTAGACAGGTGTAAAACCCCGCCCCATGGCTCTAAGCAAGCATCTTTGCTGCGCCGCAGCACTTGACTTGTCCGTAAAGTGGGTTTTTATGAGCTCTCTGCCTCAAGAGGCTGAGAAGAGAACAACTGAGAAAATGCTCACAGAGCTTAGTCACGCGACAAATATTTGAGCACCTACTGTGTGCTGGGGGAACTGTTCTGGGCGTGGGGAGTGACAGCCCCAAGCAAATCTTCCTGCCCTCCTGGAGCGGTTACCATTACTGTTGGCTGCCAGGCAGCCCCATTCAGACCTGTGGCCCTCCTCAGACCGTTCTGTCCTAAGCTCGACTCTCCCAGGAGACTGATGTGGCTCTTCAACGCCCCACCCCCCTCCATTCATAAAATGGACTCGGGGGCATTTCTTCTCTTTTCTTTTTTTTAAAACTTTATTTAAAAAACCTTCGGTGCAATATTAAAAAGCAATACAGCCAGCTGGAGCGACAACCAACAGAAAGAAAGAGGAAGCGTAAGGAAAGGCCAGAGACCCCACACCAGCCGCTCCCAGGGGCTGGGGGCCAGGGACAGACTGAGGAGGGGCCTGGGTGGTGGGGGAGGGAGGACAGGCCACCCACCAAAATGAACAGGCAGAACAAAACATTTATATAGGAAACATCTGGCTGAACTGAGAAGGATCTAGGAAGATGGGAAGCCCCCATTTTCTTTTTTTTAAATGTCCTAGGCTGGGGGGAGGGTTGGCCTCCTGGGGTAAAACACACAGCCCTGTCCCACCCCACACTCCTCTATCCTGGAGGACGGGATGTGCTGGGGGCCAGATGTGTGTCGGGAAGATACAGGGAAGAGATGGGTAGGCAGAAATGCCCCTCACCGGCATCTGTTATGAGGGCTGAGGGTATCCCCGTCCAGTTCCCGGACTTGGGGTCTGGGGGGGAGGGGGGCTGGAATGGGTGGGGCAGGGTGAGGCCCGCGCTCAGCCTAGAAAGCCGTCGGGGTCGTCCTCCTCAAAGTGGCCTTGCTGCAGCACCTTGATGTGGTGCTCGTAGATCTTCAGGGCGGGGCCCAGGCGGATGGACAAGCCAGTGAGCACGTCTGTGCGCTGCATGAGCAGCAGAGACTTGCCGTCGATCTCCTGGGCGGCACAGAGAGAGCAGGGTCAGAGCAGACCCCACTGAGGCCCTGGGGTGGAGGGCGAAGCCGAGCACGGGGGCCCACCTGCTCTTGGAAAGCTGTTGCCTGCTCGGGGAAGCCGGCCTCCGTGAAGTACTCGACCACATCCATCACCGTCCACTCCACGGGGTCAGCCGGCTTCTCCTTGCGCCCGGAACTGCATCAGAACAGAGGGAACACTGAGCAGTGATGCTCCTCTGGTTCTGTTACACCCACCTGGGTGGCCCCCCGTGTCTCAAACACCCCAACTTACGGACAGCCAAAGGGGGTCCCATCAGCCCCAGGTAGGGCTGGTTTTCCTGGGGGCAAAGGCACAGGAGATGGGGAGTCTGGCCCAGTGGCAGCAGAGGCTGGAAGGAAAAGCATATGCCTGTGGTTCTGTCTTGGGGCTCAGGCCCTCCTCCCCAGGCACCCTCCCGCACCCAGCAGTCCTCACCTGATCCCCCTTCCTTACTCATGGCCGCCATGGAGAACACCTGGCGGGTGCCGCTGCCCGGCGCCGGCCCCCGCCCTTCATCCTGGCCCTGGTGGGGTCCACAGGGTGTCCACTCCTTGATCCTCTCCTTGGCACTCTGAGGGCCCCTCTCGCCATTAAGCTGGTGGTGCTGGGCACCCGCTGGACGGTCACCCTCCGGCACCTCGGAGCCCTCGGACACAGGGTCCTCATCCTCTTCATCTTCATCATCTTCCTCCTCCTCTTCCTGCTCAAGCACTCGCTCTTCGCCACCTCTCTGGTGCCAGGGCACAAGCACGCAAGGTTAGTAGCTGTTCTGGCCTCGAGCCCAGTCCCTGGGATCCAGGACCGAGTGGTGTGCCTAAGGGCCACCTTTAATATCAACACCCACTAACTTTTATGCATTCACTTCGTGCCAGGCTCTGTGTTACAGCCCTCAGCAGCCAAATCTCACGAAACTCGCTGAACAACCCCAAGGGGTCGCTACTGTTATTAAGTCGCGTTTTACAGCGAAGGAAACTGAGGCTCGAGAAGATTAAGACTCTTGCCAAGGTCACCAGGCGCCGAACCCGCAGAAAAGACACGCAAAGCCCGGGCCACCCGCCGCCCGGTTCCTCCCGGGACTCGCGTCCCCGCCACCAACTTCACCCGCACCTGCCCACGGCGCGGTGCCCCCCCTCCGCGGCGCGCTCACCTTGCTCCGCGACGCGCGGGCGCTGGCGGCCGGCGG